AGGCTTTCTTTTGCCACGAAATTGTCGACCTTCAAGGTAAATACAAGTTTACCAAGGGAGAGAGCTGTCTTTTTATTTATGGTGCGAAAATCACCATGCACAGTTTGACGCCGTCTGTGGAAAATGACCAGACTTTTTCAAGAACAGTGACCATGGTGAATACTCGTCAAAAAGGAAAAGGTCCTCAGCAAAGGAATGTGAATTTACTAGCTCCCTCCATGTCGAGAATGGAGGATCATGTCGAAAGAGTCAGCAAGGAATTTTTCGTTCGTTCTAGGAAAAAAATCCGTCAAACTAGTCTGAGTATCGAGGTTGGAAAGGGTACCCCCTTAACCCGTCAACTTACTAATGTGATTGAAGAACGGTTTAACGATCGACTACGAGAATTAGAGGAGGACAATGTGGACGTTCTAAATCAACTTAATGGATTTACATTTTCTGGCGTAGGATCTCGAGACTTAAGGCAGTCGCGGGAGCCCTCTGCCAGGGAGGTGGGAGCCAAGGACTTGAGAAATCATCTAAGTGGTAGAGCATGGAACTCCAAGGCTCCAAAACACTCGAGGGCCAGGGGACAGCGCTCGGAGGTCCCAGCCAAGAAAAATAGATCCTTGGCTTGGAATGACCTTCATTGGAAGCTGTCCGAGCGAGGGGACATAGAGGAGTCTGAAGAGGGGTCAACCCTCTCCGTGTGAAATGCATGAACTAGAGCGCATGATGACTGATGCCGAGGAGGTGGAGGGATGCACCCCAAGTCGAGAAGAGTCCTCAAGGTACAGTTAGAGTCCATGAGAAGGGATAAGACTATCCCAGAGGATGACATGGATGACGAAGGTATTCTGTCACCCTTCACTCAGGGTATTGTAGAGATAGAAGTGCCAAAGAAGTTTATGGTACCAAAGTTTAAGGTTTGTGATGGACACTCTATCCTGGAGGCTCACCTTAAGCAATATAAGCAAATGATGTTTTTATACCACTCAAATCACTGACTGCTATGATGGGTGTTCTCAATGAGCCTAGGAGACATTACCATAAAATGGTTTAAAACCCTTCCACCTAACAACATAGGGTCTTGGAAAGAGCTAACCAAATAATTCTCTACTTGATTCAATATAGGGAGCAAGCGCCCTAAGGATGTTGGGTCACTGTTGACCTTGAGATGAAAGGAGGGTGAAACACTCCGCCAGTACACCACTCTCGACTAGGAGGAACTGAATAAGGTAGAGGGATGCTTTGGGGTCATGGCGATAGTCTCCTTCAGACTTGGTCTCTCACGGGACACCAACCACTATAGGTCCTTAACAAAGAAAACACCAATGGATATGGGCGAGCTGATGGATCGAATCAATAAGTACTCTCAAATAGAAAATGAAATGGTGGAGGGCAAAGGGAAGTCTCAGGGCCCAAAGAAGAAGGAAAAGGAGAAAGAAGGGACCCCCTCACAGAAGGAATTGGTTCCTGCATCTGGGAGTTCTTTCAAAAGGGTCCATACTGTGTTTAAGGAGCCCATTTATAAATTGTTGCACAAGACTAAGAAGGAATCTTTCTACAAATAGCCACCCAAGATGTAGGGCGATCTGTCCACCAAGAACCAGAAGGTAAGATGTTCGTACCACTAGGACGTGAGGCATCTCAGCGAAGATTGCAGAGTCTACAAGTCCTTCCTAGAGAAGTTGGTACAAGAAGGACATTTGAAGGAATATGTCGAGGAAGTAACGCCAGTTGAGACCCATGGTGCCAATAATCAAGCTATTGTTCTTGACAATGTCATTAACGTCATCCACGTTTGCCCACTAGATCGATCGACGACCAATACTCTTAGATTCGACCTTAAGAGTGTAGCCTTTGCAAGAAAGGTGGATGAAAGAAATAAGGGCCGGCCCAGCAAGAGGCCCCAGATGGATGAGGAAGGTATCACTTTCTCTAATGCCGACCTAGCAAGCATGGTCCTCCCCCTTGAGGACGCCTTGATCCTAACTTCCTTACTTTGAAGATCGATAGTTTCAATGTCAAAAAAGTCTTGGTAGACTCTGGGAGCTCCTCCGAGGTGATGTACCTCGAAGTATTGAAACGCATGGGATTCCAAAGATCTCACCAAAGTCAGAATGCCCCTCGTTGGGTTCAATGGCTCGTTTGTCTTGTCCTTGGGTAAGGTCACGCTGTCGATTACCACGGGGCTCGTTACGACCGACACAAAATTCATGGTGATTGACTCTGATTCGCCCTACAATATAATTATGGGTCAAACTTGGTTACATGCGCTTGGGGCAGTACACTTCACCTATCCTCAAAAATTAAAGTTCCCTACCCCAAAAGGAGTAATAAAAATCTGCAGGGACCAGGCGTCCGCAAAAAGTTATTTCTATGTAGTGGTGAAGGCAGAGGTTGCCTCCAAGGAGAAGGAGCGAGCCCCGGAGGAGGTGCTGAATAAATAAAAATTACAATCCAGGTGGTTGGGAGTCAACGAGCCACGGATTGATCTAGTAGATTGCTCAATGGAGGATCTCTAGAAAGTAATTCTGGTGGAAGGAGATGAAGAAAGGTACTTCTTGGTCGGCTCCACCATGTCCCCAGCCAAGCAGGAAGAGATAACTAATTTTTTAAGAAGGAACGGAGATGTATTTGCATGGAATGCCATGGAGATGAAGGGCATAAGTCCCGACGTCATAACCCATAGACTTCATGTTGATCTCGCTCACAAGCCAGTGAAGCAAAAACCTCGACGCATGGCGCCGCATCACACCCACACCATAAATGAAGAAGTGGAGAGGCTTTTATAGGCCAATGTCATTCGGGAGGTGTAGTTCATGGAATGGCTATCAAATACGATTTACGCAAAAAAGAAGGGCAAAAAATGGCGCGTTTGCATGAACTTCATTGACTTAAATAAAACTTGTCTTAAAGATGACTTTCACCTCCCAAAGGTGGACCAGCTGGTGGATGCCATAGTAAGGCACCAGTGCATGAGCTTCTTGGATGCCAGGGCTATTTACCACCAGATTCCCCTCTATCCACTTGAGCAGAAGAATATTGCCTTCATCACTCTGAGAGGAGTTTATTGTTACATGGTCATGTCATTCGATCTAAAGAATGCTGAAGCTACGTACCAGTGACTCATGAACCAAATGTTCAAACGGTAGATAAGGAACACCATGAAGGTGTATATTGATGACATACTAGTCAAGAGCAGGAAAAAGGGACAATCACATTACGGACCTAGAAGATACCTTTTCCATTCTGCAGGAGTACGGGCGGAAACTAAATGCGGCAAAGTGTGTCTTTAGAGTCGGTTAAGGGAAGTTCCTCGAATACATAGTAAGTCGATGGGGTTTCGAAGCCAACCCAAAGCAGATACAAGCCATCATGGACGTGCGAAGTCCCCAGGCATTCTGGGAAGTCCAGAGACTCACTGGAATGTTAGTTGTACTAAATCACTTCATCTCTCGGTCATCAGACAAGTGCAAGCCTTTTTTTGGGGCTATCAGAAGGTTCGGGAAAGATGCTTGGAATCAGGAATGTGAGAACGCACTCGAAGGGATCAAGGAGTACCTTAGGGTCCTCCTGACCATGTCCGTCCCAGTGAGGGGGAGATGTTGTTCCTTTACTTGGCTGTTTCAGGATTTGTTGTCAGTGGTTTACTGGTCCATGAGCATGAACGCGAACAGAAACTAGTGTATTACGTGAGCAAGGCTCTATTGGACGCAGAAACAAGATACTTGCCCCTAGAAAAGCTAGCATTAGCCCTGATCACAGCTTCAAGGAAATTGAGACATTACATACAAGCACACCTGATCATTGTCCTAACGAATCAAACCTTGAAAAAAACTCTAAGGAAGGCAGACCTCTCGAGAAGAATAGCTAAATGAGCGGTGGAAATGGAAGAATATGATATTTATTACAAGTCTTGCACTGCCATGAATGGGCAGGTGCTGGCGGACTTGATAGTAGAGTTTACCAAAGGGGAGTTGTTTTTCCCTGAGGTGGAGCCCTCCGCAGACAGTCAAGAGCCCTCCTGGAATCTCTACGTGGATGGATCCTCCAACAGTACGGGTTCCGGGATTGGGGTACTCTTAGTCTCCCTAGAGGGATTGGTCACAGAACAAGCCGTCCCGCTAGGCTTTAAACAGGGGCAAAGTTAGGAATTTATACGTGGGGGACACTAACTATAAGTTTAAAATTTTGTCTTCTTAAAGATTAAAGTATGCCGTCTAAATTGATTAAATATTCAATGTATAAGTCACCATCTATTATCGTAATGTGATATTATTATTTAATAAATAATAGCAAGTAAACGAATAAATATTATAAAATTTGATAATCACTCTTCAAGTAATATAATAACTATTTTATATATAAAAATGAGATTTCTTATTGACATTGACAACTTGAATAATAAAAAATTTAATTTTTAAAGAATATAAAATAAAAAATTTTAAAATTTTGAGGATACAAAGAAATTCTCCCCCAAAAAATATCATGAACAAAGCTTTAAATAAAAATAAAAATTATTATTGGCCAAATAAAAAAAATAAAAACACTAAGTATAATTCAAGTGGTAATATAAACAAATTGTAAATTTAGAGGTTCTAAATTCGAATGTTTGCAACTCTTTAGTTACAGATTATGAGAAATTTATCTCTCATGAATACATTAATCTTGACGTAAATGACTTGACTTTGACCTGATCAAAGAATGAATTAGTCAAAGTACATGTGAGTTAGCTGGGTCAGACAATCTTCGACGTTGAAAAAAGAAAAATGGTAAAAACTAAAAGCCAAAAAAGCATTCTTCCAAAAAAGCCAAATGCCAAACACGACTCTAAAATGTACCGAGAGTTTGGACTCTTACCATGTCAGATCGTAGAAACGTGCCATTTGGTTCGAGAATAAGAACAGAAAAAGACCTATGAAAGTCTCAGACTCCAACCCGACAAAACTTCTAGAAATCTACGGCCACTACAATGACTCCAAATCATTCCTCGCAAGTAGCTTTCTCCCAGATTACTTCTCTGAAATTTCTCTCTCTCCTCTCTCTCTCTCTCTCTCTCTTCCCACAATCTTCGCCAACATGTTAGGACTCCAAAACAAGCTCTTCCTTATAGTTTTTTCGCCTTAAATTTCGCTTGTCTAGTAGTGGGTCGTCCACTTTCCCTCTGAAATTTCTCAGTCGGTATAGGAGCTGTTGTGCCTAACTTGGCACTCTTCCTCTACCTTTGGCTCTTTGCTTAGAAATGATAAAAGCATACATTGGTTGAGGGGATTCATGGATACCCAGAAATTTTTTATGCTCAAAAGCTACTTTAATTTCATGGATATCAGCTTTTTAAGGGAGTTTGCTGATACAAAAATGTTTAGGTTCTGTAATTCTGTCTGGGATATGTTCTGCACCTTCATGCTTAATCTTTTTGGACTCATAGTCAAGTACATATCCAGGTATGTTCATGTTTAGTCTAGCTTTATGGGTTATTGGATTTCTGAGGTTTCCATTGGTTTGGACTTAGTGGTTATGTTTGATTTTGCAGATTTCAAGCAAATGGTGAAGCTCAGAAGAATGATTCAAGTTTCAGTTTTATTCCTTCTGATGAGGATGATCAAGTTGTTTCCAAAAAAGCTGAGGAATCCGAGACTGTTGCGTTTGGAGGAAAAGAAAATTTCAAGTTTTCTTTTGGGTTTCCATTAGAGAAAATCAAAGATTCCAATAAAAGTAGTGGACAAACAGAGAGCTCTGGCTTTATAGAAAGTAAGTATCAATCTATATCTAACAAAAATGTGACTGGATTTATGGAAGAGCCAGAAACACACAGATTTACAGTTCAAGAATTTTTCTTGGGTTCAAATGAAAGTCTCAGTAGTATAGTCTCACCTGACAAAGATACACAGGAGCTTAACTTAGGAAAAAAGACCCAAAATTTCCATGATTGGTCAATTGATTCTTCCTCTTGTAATGAACAATTTGATGATACCAAGGTCTCTATTTCGGAAATAGAGGTTGTTGATCATGGAAAAGCAGAGGACTTTGCTCAAAGTTTATGCAGTGAAGAGGTTTTAGAGGAGCTAGGAGAAGTAACTATGGCAGAGCATGGACTTGCCAAGGCCAAAGAGAGAGAAGGCTCTGAAGATAATTTCTCAGATGAGCAAGACTTCTCTTATGAAGTCGAATTGCGGCCGGAGATTAAATTGTTGCCTTCTGATTCAAACACAGTGGCAGATGTTTTGAGTGATTGGTTTGTAATTAACACTCACAAAGTTGATCTGGTAAATAATAATGGACTTGTTTGTGGTAGTGAAACTGATACTCCTATGCCCATTGATAGGAGGGAGGGAATGTTTACTGAAAAAATTGCAGGGTTGGAAGAGATTGGTGAGGAGGAAAATAGCTTTTCCCATGATGAAACAGCATTTAGGAGAGAGAAACATGATGTTTATGTTGATGACTACATAGAATTGGAGCCACATTTCAATTCAACCAAGTTAGGTGAAGCAAGTTTGTCCTTGAAACATTTAGGCAAAGTTGAAAAAGGACATGAATTATTGGAATGTATGGACATGAAGGGGAGAGAACAGATGGATAGTTTACAAAAATCCGAAGAACACGCCTTGCTGAAGAAATCATGGGACTGGGATTCTGACGATGAAGATGAACCAGATATTCTGTTGGAACACAGAGAATTGGTAGAACAGATGAAAATGGAAATGAAAAATTCTAGAGCAAAAGGACTTCCTACTATCTTAGAAGAATCGGAGACTGCGAAAATGGTGGAAGATTTGAAACCACTTAAGATTGANACAAGCTCTTCCTTATAGTTTTTTCGCCTTAAATTTCGCTTGTCTAGTAGTGGGTCGTCCACTTTCCCTCTGAAATTTCTCAGTCGGTATAGGAGCTGTTGTGCCTAACTTGGCACTCTTCCTCTACCTTTGGCTCTTTGCTTAGAAATGATAAAAGCATACATTGGTTGAGGGGATTCATGGATACCCAGAAATTTTTTATGCTCAAAAGCTACTTTAATTTCATGGATATCAGCTTTTTAAGGGAGTTTGCTGATACAAAAATGTTTAGGTTCTGTAATTCTGTCTGGGATATGTTCTGCACCTTCATGCTTAATCTTTTTGGACTCATAGTCAAGTACATATCCAGGTATGTTCATGTTTAGTCTAGCTTTATGGGTTATTGGATTTCTGAGGTTTCCATTGGTTTGGACTTAGTGGTTATGTTTGATTTTGCAGATTTCAAGCAAATGGTGAAGCTCAGAAGAATGATTCAAGTTTCAGTTTTATTCCTTCTGATGAGGATGATCAAGTTGTTTCCAAAAAAGCTGAGGAATCCGAGACTGTTGCGTTTGGAGGAAAAGAAAATTTCAAGTTTTCTTTTGGGTTTCCATTAGAGAAAATCAAAGATTCCAATAAAAGTAGTGGACAAACAGAGAGCTCTGGCTTTATAGAAAGTAAGTATCAATCTATATCTAACAAAAATGTGACTGGATTTATGGAAGAGCCAGAAACACACAGATTTACAGTTCAAGAATTTTTCTTGGGTTCAAATGAAAGTCTCAGTAGTATAGTCTCACCTGACAAAGATACACAGGAGCTTAACTTAGGAAAAAAGACCCAAAATTTCCATGATTGGTCAATTGATTCTTCCTCTTGTAATGAACAATTTGATGATACCAAGGTCTCTATTTCGGAAATAGAGGTTGTTGATCATGGAAAAGCAGAGGACTTTGCTCAAAGTTTATGCAGTGAAGAGGTTTTAGAGGAGCTAGGAGAAGTAACTATGGCAGAGCATGGACTTGCCAAGGCCAAAGAGAGAGAAGGCTCTGAAGATAATTTCTCAGATGAGCAAGACTTCTCTTATGAAGTCGAATTGCGGCCGGAGATTAAATTGTTGCCTTCTGATTCAAACACAGTGGCAGATGTTTTGAGTGATTGGTTTGTAATTAACACTCACAAAGTTGATCTGGTAAATAATAATGGACTTGTTTGTGGTAGTGAAACTGATACTCCTATGCCCATTGATAGGAGGGAGGGAATGTTTACTGAAAAAATTGCAGGGTTGGAAGAGATTGGTGAGGAGGAAAATAGCTTTTCCCATGATGAAACAGCATTTAGGAGAGAGAAACATGATGTTTATGTTGATGACTACATAGAATTGGAGCCACATTTCAATTCAACCAAGTTAGGTGAAGCAAGTTTGTCCTTGAAACATTTAGGCAAAGTTGAAAAAGGACATGAATTATTGGAATGTATGGACATGAAGGGGAGAGAACAGATGGATAGTTTACAAAAATCCGAAGAACACGCCTTGCTGAAGAAATCATGGGACTGGGATTCTGACGATGAAGATGAACCAGATATTCTGTTGGAACACAGAGAATTGGTAGAACAGATGAAAATGGAAATGAAAAATTCTAGAGCAAAAGGACTTCCTACTATCTTAGAAGAATCGGAGACTGCGAAAATGGTGGAAGATTTGAAACCACTTAAGATTGATGATAAGTTTGAGTATAAAGATCGAATGGAAGAGATTCAGAAGTTCTACAAAAGCTATGCTGAGAAAATGAGAAAACTGGATATCTTGAATTACCAAACCATGCATGCTATCAGTAAGTCACAAAATAACCTTGTCTCTCTCATGTTGTTTTGATTTCTTACAATACAGCATTGATGCACAAAATTCCTATTGAGAGTATAGCAAATATGTTTTATGATTGGCAGTGAAGTTGAACATTTCAATTTGTCATATTGAACAACATAATAGTCCATGAGATCCACATATGCCCCCCCAACCCGAGCAAAAAAAAAACCCTTTGAAGATCCACATAAGTTACATATGTTTTATGGGTATCGTTTGTTAATATAATAAATCGGTTACTTAGTCTAGTGGTAAAGGCGATGAGACTATTAAGAAATGGACCTTGTTGGCTTCAAATATAAAAAATGTGTTTGAGGGATCAAATGCCATCACTTCAACAAATTAAAAACATTCTCGGTACGATAATTAATGTAGCTGTTACTAGAATTACCAATCACTAAGCCTACCCATACAATCTCCTGATTTTTTTTAGGTTGTTGAATAATTTTAGTGTTGGAAATAGAAGATGCTTGTGTCCCATCTGGTCATGTAGAAGATTTTTTTATCAAGGAGATCTTGAAAGAGGAACAATTGCTTGGTGGGGTTCCATCCTCTTTACATAACAAGGGTGCCACTTTTAATGCGCATCAAAGCTACCCCATTCCTTGTCTGTTCTCAAAATCTATTACATCACTGTCACTTTAAAGTCCATATTAATGGTCTCTAATGATTCAACCGACTTTGTTTTCCTTTCCACTATATGTTTTTATCAATAATCAGATCATTAGGTCATTGAAAATAGCTCTACCCCACTTTCATCCCTGCTGAAAGATATTTCTTGTGTTGAATGATTTTCTAGAGAAACAAACATGAATACTTTTTCTCAAGTTAGGCCAAGCACGTACAACTATTTTTTTGTTATACAAATGTCGGGTCAAGACTCTGTTTAGTTGAGTGTGAATATTAAATGTTTTATGATAATCGTAATTGAAAGAACTCTTGTGATGTGATTTGTGATCACTGTAGGTTTTCTCCACCTGAAGGATCCAATTAAATTGACTTTAGTCCAACAATCTCCAGTTTTGGCAATCAAATCCCTCCATTGGCCAAATGTTTGGCCATGTAAACCCCAAAGGATTTATGCTGATCCCACTCTTAAATCCATTAATGAGCTGCACAGAGATTTGGAGATGGTGTATGTTGGACAGGCTTGCCTTTCATGGGAAATCCTCCATTGGCAATATGGGAAAGCAAAAAATTTGCTGAATTATGATTCTGAAGGGCACCACTCGTATAACCAAGTTGCCGATGAATTTCAACAGTTTCAAGTACTTGTACAGCGATTTATGGAGGATGAGTCGTTTCAAGGACCAAGAGTTCAGATTTATGTCAAGAACAGAAGCATCCTTCGTAGTTTCCTTCAAGTTCCAATCATTAAAGGTTCATTGATATAACATAGAATCCTTTTTAAGTGATGTACACAATCAAATTCCTTTCGGGGAATTGACTAATCATAATCGTACTGCAGACGATTGTTCGAAGGAGAAGAAGGGGAAACGAGACGAGGAAGAAAACGCAATTTCAATTGCAATGCTAGTGAATATCATTGAGGAAACAATGCGCATATTCTGGGATTTTTTTCATGCTGATAAAGACGAACCAAATGTGATCTTGAAGGGTCCTCAGGGAACGCTGGTTGATCTTCAAGACCCTACAGATGCAGAGCTTTTGATGGATGCTAGAACAATCCTTCATGAGGTTTGGTTTCTGTTGGTCTTCAGAACCAATTTTTTTCCTTCTTTCCATGACATTGTCAAAAGTTGATTTTTATGATTCTCATCGTGCAGAAGGAGAAAAGGCTGAAAGAGATTTTGAGAAGTGGAAATTGCATAGTAAAGAAGTTCCAAAAACATCAAGGAGGTCGATTGGGCGATGCACGGTTCATTTCTCAGGTGGAATTGAGATTGATTTCAAGAGTTCTAAGCTTGTCAAGGTTAACAAGAGATCAACTAGTTTGGTGTCAGAAGAAACTAGACAACATTAACTTTGTTAACAGAAAGATTCATGTAGAACCCTTATTTTTGCTCTTTCCATGTTGAAAATCTTGAATTCTGCCACCATGCCACTAGTTTTCTTTTGCAGTCTTGTAGATGCTTGTTACAGTAAAAAAAAAAAAGGGAGTAGCACAGAAAAATGTCAGTATACAAGTTGCTGTTAAATTTTCTGCACCTAATGTATATTTTGCAGCACTTATGTAAATACTAACAGGCAGGGCACTTCATGCTTTGCAAGTGAGATTGGGTATGAAATTAGTAATTTAAAAAGACAAGAATACCCTCAGGAGACAAACCGCCTCCCTCAACCTAGCCTCTCTCAAACCCGTCCCTTGCCGCATCCCCGAACCCCTCTTTGCTCAGTACGCTCTGCAACCAGCCACCGCCAAAGCAAAACGGATTGCTAGTATTGCATACCACGTCTTACAATTGACGCCACTAAGGTTTCTCACTATGACTCAGCCAATGGCTTGCATAAAGGGCATAAATTGCGAAGGCAATAACATTAAAGACTTTGCAGGAAAAAATCGTAATCCTCTGCCAATTATTGTTCAAAGGCCATAAATAGCACTACACAACAGGGTTCCAGAGTATTGGCAATTTTTGCAACACCACTTACCGTTGTGTTTGCTCTCTCTCTCTCTGGCATCTCCACCACCGTCATCCACCACCTGTGCAGCAAACGACCACCCACCTTTTATACTGTCCACCACGTTGCAACAAACGATCATCCATCATCCATTGTAATTTGATTTTGGTTCATTTTTTTTTTTGGTTTCGTTCTGATTTTGCATTTGGATATATTGGTTCAATTCTAATTTCGATTCTCACTTCTTGTTTTGATTTGGGGTTTTGTGGATTGATTTTTTGGTTGATGGATATCTTTACTTGTTATATTGGGACAGAAAAATCAAGAATATTAAGGATGAACTGATCGGAACTGAGGTTTGTGGCAGCTATTTATGGCGGTGGTATGGATCTGTTTGATTCCAGATCTCCTTATGACTTTGATTCCAGGTCGACGTTGACTTTGATTCCAGATCGAGATAGAGAGAGAGAGAGAGAGAGCTAAAGAAGGGTCTTTTTACCTGCAATTGAGAGGATGGAAAAGAAGAGGAAGATGAAGAGAGAAAGGGTGAGGCGTTCCATGCTCTGTTGCTCTGTTTCAGGAGAAGCAGAGCAAGAGAGAGAGAGAGGGATGTGTTCGATTTATGGGTTGCAATGCAGTACTTATGAGAGAGTGGGCCTAGTGGAGAGAGTGGTGGGTTGTTGTCTGCTGTGGTATTGGGTGTTTGCCGGAGAAGGAGAACGGGGATATATGAGAAGTCGCTGGAGAAGAAGAATGGGTGGGAAGAGAAAAAAGGTGTTAAAGTCATTTCATTGTTTCCATTAACGGTGTTAGGAATGCATTTTAGTCCATCAATCACGTGAGAATTATGTAGACGTTTCCAATCCACTGGTTGACGAACACGTGTTTTGTACGATGATATTTTCAAAGTTAATTTTCAGACTAAAGGAATATTATGCGTCTTTTTTTGCACAATATTGTTTACCTCTAACAAAACTCAAAATTAAAATTTCTCTTAATTTTGACACACGTACGCACACAACTAATTAAAATTTTACGTCTTTTACTTTTAATACAATATCTCATTTCGATAGCGTATCTTAAGTATAATTTTTTGTTTAATACACATAGATCACCCAAAATAAGGCTCCACCTTTTTGTTCATAGATAGTTTTAGAAAATTTTCAATTAACTAAGAATATCTCCAACTCGTTCTCTATTTCTTCTCTTTTAGCTACTTTAGCTAACCAAACATAAAAAATTCTCTCTAACCCACTCTCAATTTCCTAGTTAACCCAAATGGCTCACCAAATGTGGTGAGTCATTTGAGCTCTCTAAGAGTATCTTCAACCCTTCTCTTTAAAATAGTTAGTCAAATATATTTAAATATTACATTCATTACTTTAGTTACTCATTTTTATAAATTCACTCAAATCATACTCTCTATTTTAGTTAACTACTACACCTAATTTTCACTAACTTTCAATAATTTAAAATAAGTAAAACACATATATATAGAGATAGAGAGAAAATTTTGAGAGCTAAAATGGCTCACCATATTTGCTGAGCCATTTGGGTTAACTAGGAAATAGAGAGTGGGTTGATGACAATTTTTTGTGTATGACTAGCTAAAGTAGCTAAAAGAGAATAAATAGAGAGTGGGTAGAGATGCTCTAAATTCTCTCTCCACCTTTTTTTTTTCTCTCTCTCTCTATGTATATGGTTTACTTCTTTTAAATTATTGGAAGTTAGTGAAAGTTGAGTGTAGTAGTTAACTAAAATAGAGAGTGTGGTTAGAGTGAATTTGTAAAAGTGGTTAGCTNTTTCGATTCTCACTTCTTGTTTTGATTTGGGGTTTTGTGGATTGATTTTTTGGTTGATGGATATCTTTACTTGTTATATTGGGACAGAAAAATCAAGAATATTAAGGATGAACTGATCGGAACTGAGGTTTGTGGCAGCTATTTATGGCGGTGGTATGGATCTGTTTGATTCCAGATCTCCTTATGACTTTGATTCCAGGTCGACGTTGACTTTGATTCCAGATCGAGATAGAGAGAGAGAGAGAGAGAGCTAAAGAAGGGTCTTTTTACCTGCAATTGAGAGGATGGAAAAGAAGAGGAAGATGAAGAGAGAAAGGGTGAGGCGTTCCATGCTCTGTTGCTCTGTTTCAGGAGAAGCAGAGCAAGAGAGAGAGAGAGGGATGTGTTCGATTTATGGGTTGCAATGCAGTACTTATGAGAGAGTGGGCCTAGTGGAGAGAGTGGTGGGTTGTTGTCTGCTGTGGTATTGGGTGTTTGCCGGAGAAGGAGAACGGGGATATATGAGAAGTCGCTGGAGAAGAAGAATGGGTGGGAAGAGAAAAAAGGTGTTAAAGTCATTTCATTGTTTCCATTAACGGTGTTAGGAATGCATTTTAGTCCATCAATCACGTGAGAATTATGTAGACGTTTCCAATCCACTGGTTGACGAACACGTGTTTTGTACGATGATATTTTCAAAGTTAATTTTCAGACTAAAGGAATATTATGCGTCTTTTTTTGCACAATATTGTTTACCTCTAACAAAACTCAAAATTAAAATTTCTCTTAATTTTGACACACGTACGCACACAACTAATTAAAATTTTACGTCTTTTACTTTTAATACAATATCTCATTTCGATAGCGTATCTTAAGTATAATTTTTTGTTTAATACACATAGATCACCCAAAATAAGGCTCCACCTTTTTGTTCATAGATAGTTTTAGAAAATTTTCAATTAACTAAGAATATCTCCAACTCGTTCTCTATTTCTTCTCTTTTAGCTACTTTAGCTAACCAAACATAAAAAATTCTCTCTAACCCACTCTCAATTTCCTAGTTAACCCAAATGGCTCACCAAATGTGGTGAGTCATTTGAGCTCTCTAAGAGTATCTTCAACCCTTCTCTTTAAAATAGTTAGTCAAATATATTTAAATATTACATTCATTACTTTAGTTACTCATTTTTATAAATTCACTCAAATCATACTCTCTATTTTAGTTAACTACTACACCTAATTTTCACTAACTTTCAATAATTTAAAATAAGTAAAACACATATATATAGAGATAGAGAGAAAATTTTGAGAGCTAAAATGGCTCACCATATTTGCTGAGCCATTTGGGTTAACTAGGAAATAGAGAGTGGGTTGATGACAATTTTTTGTGTATGACTAGCTAAAGTAGCTAAAAGAGAATAAATAGAGAGTGGGTAGAGATGCTCTAAATTCTCTCTCCACCTTTTTTTTTTCTCTCTCTCTCTATGTATATGGTTTACTTCTTTTAAATTATTGGAAGTTAGTGAAAGTTGAGTGTAGTAGTTAACTAAAATAGAGAGTGTGGTTAGAGTGAATTTGTAAAAGTGGTTAGCTAAAGTAGTAAATGTAATATTTAAATATATTTTGACTAGCTATTTTAAAGAGAAGGGTTAGAGATGCTCTAACCATGAAAAAAATGTTTTTGTCCACCCAAAAAACTACTAAAACATTATTTGCAAAACAAATCAAATAGTGATATATGATTGAAAAATTCAAAATTTATTTGTCCTTTGATGCAAATAGTGAAAATTAGCCGCAATGATATGAAATTTGAAAAACCATTATGCAAATTTTGTCTCGTAAAACAAATATATTTTTTAAATATCCAATTAATTCACAAGTTAACTTGATTTGTACAAATAATTTACATATACAAAATAGTAGCCAATCAAAAAGTATAACTCATTATACAAAACTCCCATTGTTGTGAGGTCTAAATAAAATATCATATAAAGTTTTTTATAGGTACAAAATCCCAAGGGTATTAGATAATTTAAGTATCTTATTTAAGTGTTTGCTTCTCATCTAGTTATTTTCACCCAAAACTAATAAAGAGAGAATAACCCAAAAAATCAAGATCAATAGAGTTCACCTAGAAACTCAAGGTGTCATGTAGTAAAATAAAATTAAAACAGTATTGGTTCAATGTTGTGATCAACTTTCGCTTAGTTTTCATCTTTAAGTGTATCAATCCTTCCTTATTCATATGTTATATGTACCTGCAAATGAAATAAATCAAAGAAACATAAATAGACTATTTATTATTTTAAAAAAGCTTCATCAACAACATCAAATTTAAAGACTGATTTGTTCGATAATATACTTGATGACAGAATACATATGATCAAAAATAATAAAAACATATGATATTTCCAACTGCATAACCAAATCAATACATTCATCTGTAGTACACCATGCAAGACTATATCTAACCCAAGGCCAGAATCAACAAAAACAACAACGACATGCAAGCGCTAATTTTTAGGGTCATAATAAATATATAGGACTTTGAATTCCCCCAAAGCCTCACAAAATTATTCAAAAGTTAACAATTTTGTATCTAAAATGTGAGTTCCCTAAAATCGAGGATCCTTTATTAACCCGTTGATCACCTATTAACTAGCGAAAATACTGGTGAATGTTGCATAACCCGACATCACGGCACAACATCCTTTTTACTGGGATCACTTTGGGCAGAGTCTACCTTGTACCGAGCAGCTTCAAACGCATAACCTGTATACCATTTAATCACATGACTCATCCAAGGTCCAATATAAATCAATTTACTCTCATCTATTGTCCACTTATATCATTTGAACAAAAG